AGTGACATAAACTAGTTTACAGGCACCAAGTCACTTACATCTAATTTTCTTAGAATGCCTACATTTCCCCCTTTCAGATAGACTAAGCTTTCTGGGTCGCTTTTATGGAACATAAGTTAAATACAACACATTAATGTGAACAGTTATGTTCTATTCAGTGTAATGTTATCCTGCCAAGGCAATGTAATTTTCTGTAAAGCTAAAGAATGGTTGGGTTCTTCTATAACATGAGATTTCTGAGTGGGAATTTCAAGATGACTCCACATAAACTTAACTCCCCTCACTGGAAAAGTTAAGACACCAAGCATTAAGCACTTCTGAAAATTCCAACCCTGCTGCAAGCTTCCAAATGACTTCTTAAAACTTTATTAAATTTATATAATAGAAATCAAGACATTTCATACTGTTTTGGAAAGCTCATTTTAATGTTATGGTTGTGTTTCCAGTGTTAACTAAAACACCACACATGCCCATATCAGATATCAGTGAAAACTTGGTTAAATGCTTACTTAAGGGTTTAAAAATAAACCTTTGATCCCTGAAACAACACACCAGACAATAAAACATTTAAACTGAAAGTAAGTCATCTCAGAACATCGCCATCATCCCAAGTCCTCCTTGGATGCTTAACACCACTTAACAAGAGAAAAAAAATGTGACTGTTTATTTAGACGCAGTAGAAAATCCCAACTATGCATGAAGAAAAACCTGTCTATTTACAGTAAAAATACAGCTAAGCAATAAGAGCATTTATGCTTTTTGTTTCAGTGCCTTTCAACAGAAACATTGAGACGAAGTGATCACATTTATTTAATTTTGCTTTAAATGATGCTACCAGTTTGAGATCTCCTACACTTTCAAATTGGGAATTATCACTGGAACGGGTAATCTCACTCAAACTGGAAAAATAGTTGGTAAGGTCTTATGGGTCAGATCCAGCAAAGGGATGGAGGTGGGCAGTGCATGCAACCTAGTTATAGAATCAGATCCTTTATTTACCATATCAACTGAAAATCTCTTTAGCCTGCCACTGGAAGACAGAAGTGAAAGCTGGTAAAGGTAAAGGTCTTCACACCATTCCATTTCCAGTGTGAAGTTTATTTAGCACTAAACAGATATGTTGCATTACTGGGGACCCAACAACAGCAACAAAAATTGCACTACTCGGAACAGACGTGAAGAGTATCATGTGGTGAAAAAAACGAGTTTAATTCTAATATATAATTTTAGACTTTCAGTAGCAATATTCACCTTTTCTAAACAGATGAGTTTTAATTAAAATTGTACTCTAAATTTAAATATCAGTAATTTAATTTGATAAGAAGTACCTCATGGTATTGCTAATGTAAGCTTTATAACCCCATTTAATACAAGTCAAATAGGCTGTCAAGAAAAAAAGCAAGGACAAGGGTGTTCATCTTATTGGTAAAAGTATCAAAACACAGAATGGGCAATGCTGCTTATTAAAGTACAATTAAAGTACATTAGCTTGTTTCTATAAAACTTAGCAGATGATGGAAAATATGTACTAAACCTAAATTCAGTGATTTCATCTGTACTATTATGAACTTTTAAGAAGTTATGTAGCATTCGGTCTGGCTTGGTGAATAGTAGCAATGGTTCATTATCCAGTCTCTCCCTTTCCCAGCTTTTGGGTACCAGAACTGATTTGCAGGCCAAGTATTCATCATCAGAAGTGTGACTGATGAAGTACTTCATGTCACACAGTAGTGATCTATGTTCAGTTAAGAAGCTGTACTGACTGGTTATTAAAAGGCCATCACCTTTGCCCAGAAAGATGGTGGCTGTTACATGAAACTTACCGCTTAAGGAAGTTAAGCCCTTATGGCTCTGTAAAGGTTACAGACCCCTTCCCTCCGTAAGGCAAAAATAGTGCTCTGAGGAGAAATTTCCGAGTAAGATTTGAACCACATATAAAAAAATTATGATGTTTCATCCTCTTGGCCAAAAACCCCATGCTATACCAGGTAGCAACAAAGCAATGACTACGGAAGAAAAGAGGTTCACTGCGTTGTTGTCTAGTATAGGTTTTCCAGATATGTGCTCTGAGTCTTTTGTTTGGTGGTTGACAACCATGCCAATACGCTTGTCAAAACCTGGGGAAAGAAGTAAATAGAAGGTAAACATATTCAAATTTTGCAGCTGTCTTAATTGAGAGGAAACCTAACATCAAGTGTATGTTACTTCCTATAAGTGCTTAAGTTATGGCTTCAAACATCTATCTACTTAAAAAAGATAAATTCTTATTTTACATGAGCATTAATACCCTAATTTTTAAAATACACACACACACACACACACACACACACACAGTTCTATAATACTGTGATAGCAACAAAGGCTATTAAGGTAAGCAAAACTATTCCAAGAGTTGTCATGATAAAGATGATGTCACTGAACAAACATATAAATGGTTAGAAATGTGTATTCCTACCAAAAAAACACCCAATGCTTTCATATCCAAAAGTTACTCCATATCACAGCAAATCTAACCCTGAAATTAAGCCCATTAAATATCTTCACTTCCACAAGGGTATTACATTAACTGGCTGTATAGCTCTCTTTCCAGTCTATGTGGCCCCTGGTCTGCCTCTGTATAAACACTGTCTTTCCTTATCAATGCAAAGGAAAAGTTAAAGTGAGTGGGACAGCATTCTCCTTATCCAATCTGTTTGCTAGGACAAATGTACATTTTAATGCTGGCTCAATACATAGTGAAGGATTCTATTTCTGTGGGGAAGAACCAGCATCTCAAAGTAAGCCATTATATTGTTTGCCAGTACCGTTCTTTGAAGTTTCTGAATATCTGTTAGTGCCCTGTATGTTCAAAGTAATGTTAAAATTCATGTTGAGCTACTGTTTTACTGAAAAGAGATGCTTAACACACCAAAAGAAAATCACACAGCTGCCTTGAAAGCAAACAGTTGAGAGTACTGCTTCTTCCCTAGCACTTACTGAACTAAAGCCAAAATGAGTTGTCAACAGTAATAGAAGCATTATCTTAAAACTTGTGATAGCTTAACACTTCCTTAACACCCATTATAAAAGGCTAAATCCATACATATTCCTAAACAGCCCATTAGCCACACATTAACATTTTTTTTCTGGGAGGAGAACAGGGAATAGTCATCTCCTGCATCCATATGAAGTCACAATAAAAAAATAAAATTAAAAACCACACCACATAAGGGCTAGATTTATCTGTCCTTCATCACCTCAAGTAGTATTAAGTAATTAAGAATGGAAACTACTTGCACAATCCTATTAGGTCAGAATAAATTACCACTGCAAAACTGGGTAGCTGAAGTTTGACAGAATAACTGAAAAAGAGTGAAGTAAAGACTGTGTTTCGGCATTATAGGTGCACTTTAATTGGACAGCCATTCAGAGTACTAGGAAAGGGAAAAAGTAGACAACGCTAGAATACAGCATATTCAGGTTAAGAACTACAGGGATGGAAGGGAAGCTGCTTTTACCTTCACAATAACGATTGTTCTTCAAGATGTGCTGGGCACACACACACTCCATTATCAAATGCACTACATATCTGTTAGAGTGCCACTGGCAGAGTATGCACCCTGCACATCCCCAGGCTTTCAAACTTCCCTCTCTGTTGCCAGAATTCTGGAGATGCAGGGTAGGAGGGAGCATGTGGAATGGACACAGGCACAAAACATCTCAAAGAACATCAGAACTATCCTGCCAAAGTCAGCACTGAGACAAGAAGTTTCAACTAAGGCATAAATGTCAAGGAAAGCCACGTAATGAAAACTTTTTTGTTTAACCTTACAAATATCTACAATTGGGATACTGCTTTAGCCAAGTCAAATGTGCAAATATGCAAAAAAAAAATTTCTGTGAGCTGAACTACAGCAAGTCTTTAGATATGCTGTAATCCAAGTGGCTATTAACTGACATTTCAATCTGTTTACCAAAGTAGTTTCGGTGAAGGTCTTTGTTTCATCAATGCAGAAGGGCAGTATTTTGTCAACATTTCTCTTTGCCTCTTCAGAAGTGAGGCTTAGGAAGGAGGTATAGGTAAATGGATTATTTGATTCAGATTAAAGAAGTAAAAGATTTCTGGCATGGCATTTATGATGAATTTAAGAAAAATCATGCAATTGTGGAAATTGTATATAGTGGCTTGTAATCCAGAAACATTTTCAGATGATTTTTCCACCATTAAAAAATCTGTTTTATGTAAAAGATGGAAGAGACTACAAGATACTTAAAGATTCATACAGAGAGTCCATTGGCTAAGAAGGGAAATAGGTTTAATGCACATGTGAGAACTGGATCATGTATTGGAAGATGGACACCGAGGAAACTTCACAAAGCAAGATGGAAGTTATTTGGGACAAAAGAATGTGCTGCCAAATGCCTACTAAGTAAACCTTAACTAAAATGATAGAAAGCCCTGTTATGTTTTATTGTAGTTTATGCCAACTCTGCCATCATTTGTTCACTGCTGTCCAAACTAATAGGTTCTTCTATTTATCAAAACAGATGGATTCCTTTCTGGTTTTATAAGTATTATTTTGAACCTTTTTGGTACAGAATCTTATTAATAAGTTTTCCAACTGAGCACCCCACCCACTGGTTGAAATACCTGCAAAAGAAGAAAAGAACATATTAGCAGCTATGCCCACTATTTGAGACAAAAGTACTTGAGCCAAGTTGTGAACAAACATATACAGTGAATGAGTAACAGATCAAGATACTAAGTACACTGAGCCTAGCCAAACCTGAACACTGTAGGTCTCTCACATTCATGAGGCCACATGGTTTAGCAGTCTTTGACAATATCATAGACTTGGTCATGGTTCTGCTCTGCAAGTTCTGCACACAGTCAAGATAGTATAACACTAGTATGATGATAGGCAGACAGCAACTCATACAATTGAGGACATAACTTGATGATGATGAACTTGATTTAATTTTTTTTGTACCAGTAATGAAGCAGACTTCTCTACTTTCAGGTTGAAATGAGTCACCAAAAACTGGATCTATCTGATGGAATTTTTTCCTTTAACCAGCCCTAGACATGTCAATAACTTGGGTTAAAAAAACCTGGATCTGCAAGCACTGACAGCAGACAGTCACTACCACTAGGCTCTGGGTAAAGGCTCTCAAAACTGATGAGAGGTCTGAAAGACGAGTATCACCCAGGTATGTAGAATCTAACTTAGTAAATATTTGTTTTTCTTGCAACTTGGCAAAATTGCCATGGAAGCAGGCACCCTACAGGTCAAAAGAAGCATTCAGATAGATCTCAAAGAAACTGAAAGGAACTGGTAAAGAGTGAAACTGGCCTGAATATCTTATAAAAGTTATCTAAAATGTTCTCAGAGTCAGAATTGGTCTCAGACCACATCTTTTCTTGGGCAAAAAGAAACAGTAGGAATAAAAGCCTTTCTGTATATGCTTTTGGGGAGTTTCCTCTATTTCTCCCAGGTAAAGCAGAGTGTGCAACACCTGTACTAACACAGATTCATGAGAGGTCTTTAAAGAGGGACAGGAAATTGGGTAGAGATGAGAAGAATGGACTTTATCCACTTTCTATAGTACTCAGGATCCATTTGTCTAATATAAATTCTCAGGCACTGTAGAGAAAGAGGAGATTATTCCCAAAGAGTGGGAAAGTTTTTTATAGGAACTGTATGAAATTGACAGACTTCTTTTAAGATGCCCATCAAAGTGGTCCCTTAAAGTGTGGTTTGTCCCTCTGCTTGAAAAGATTATGTCTCTTTGATAAGTCCACCTACTTAGGTGGAGACAAAGAACTATGCTGAATTTAAGCTACAATTACTTCTTCTTTGTCACTGGCATAGCTACACTTAAAGAGCAGAGCACAACTCTGGTACTTGTTAGTGTTTTCAGTTCATGTCTGTCAGCAATAAAGTCTGATTCCTGAATAGTAAACTAGCCTCTGCATGCTGGATCTTCACAGGAATGACACTTGGACCAGGAAAGAAAGTGCATGGGGCAGGAAGTGGAGTCCACAGCATCAACTACAACTTGCAGAAACAAACGTTCTCTCTTTTTCCCCAGTGATGATGGCTTTGAATTACCTACTGCATTTCTCAGACAATTTAATCTACCAAACCAAAATCTAGAGTTCCAATTGATGAAAGTTTGGCAAATAAAGCTGGCTGTCAAGTAAGATTTGCATCCAAATACATTCAATTTTCTTTTGATCTTTATTCCTCGAGGTAAGCTTAATATAAGTATATATTCACAACTATCTCAGCCAAGGATTCAGACAAGGAATGAATAAAGAAATGTTCAAGCCTTGGAATACACCCTAATAATACCCATCAACCATCTTGGAGACAGGCAGAAAAGGAGGCAAGGATCCAGCCATGACAGTGCCATATCTGAATTAACAGTATTGGAAATTAATGAATATACTGGTTTTCACTATGCTTTCTGATAATAGGGTCACCTTGGACAGGGTGTGTGCATCTGTGTGTGTGTGATCTTTGAAAGGATATGGCAGGGGGCCTTTTTTTGCTTTGCTTTTTAAAGCCCCTCACACTTCTCATCCGACTTCATTAAAAAATCTATTTTACCTGCTTAGGTAGGGAGATGCCTTTTTGACTGCAAGGCTTCCCTTTGGTGAAAAGAAGAATAAGCAGCTGGAGAAGTATCCCTGATAGAGAGAACCTTTCCTAACATAGAGTTGCCTGGGAAGGATAAGGATCTTCTAAGTCTTAAGAAAGCTCTTTGAGACAGATCTCTCTACTTTCTTGTTTGAAAGAGAAGATTTTTACAGATGGTGTCTTTCCCTTTCTTGGGCCAGAGCAAAAAATCTTTATATAACCTCCCCCCCCCCACACAAGACACTGTTTAAAACCCTGAGGTTAGACTTTCCAATAGCTTTAGGTTATATAAATAACTAGTAGAGTTAAGAACTAACAAATATTAGAACTACTTACAAGTAAGGTGAATTCTGGCTGTGCAGAAAAACAAAAAAAACCCAGAATGGAGTATGGATAGCTTACTGTTGTGATGGGCAGTTAGGAGGAACAGAGGGAAGCAAGATGATCACAGCTCCATATGCCCTTAGATGAAATAAAGGGCAGGCAGGGCACATACTCTGTCCCAACTGTACTCCTAGTAAGTCTCCAGCTCAAGTGGCTGGAGCAAGTACAGCTATATACTGAAATGGATATGCACACCATCCCATGAAAGAATACTATATTTCTTTCTTATCACTTTTTCCTGATCATTTAAAAAACCATTACAATTCATGTAACAAACTGAGAGTAGCCTAAGATGATTTTGAGACTCTAAAAACAAAGAAGTGGAGAACGGAAATAAGATGAAAGGTAAGATTAACTGCCTTTGTTTCAGCCATCTTTTGGAAATCCATCATTGTGTTACTCCATCCATTCTTTCCCTGTTGTCAAAACCAAATCTTTAGCACCTTAAGATAATGGCAGTTTTTAAGCTAGAAAAAAAAAGAATTTTCTTACCACTATATTGCATTGTAGCTCCTAAATATGAATCAACGATTGAACCTAGTAAACCAGCTGCTGCTCCAAACATAATGATTGGCCACTGTGGAGCAGATATATCCAGATCACTCACAAAAATCTGTTGTGTAATGAAGTAAGCCACTCCTACTACTGTTCCACCAAGCAAACTTGAAATAAGGCCAATTACAGTAATTCCTCCATTGGTACCTAAATCAAACAAAAAGTTTTTATTTTTGTCGTATTTATGCTTACTGCATATAGCCTTTTACCAATTAAATATCTCAGATTTTAAAACACTTTTCAAATCCCTTCATTTGTGTGTTACATGACAGTTTATATTGTAGAAGATGTCATTTAAAATATAAACCCACACATAGTATTAAAAACAAAGACAAGACTCAGAATGGGGCAGCTTTTCAGTCACAGGATGTTATAACACTCCATTTTATTTACAACCTATGAAAAACCGTACTTATTTTCACCAAAGTAAACCTTTTTCAATATTAGCAGAATTCAGTACTGTGGATCTGATTATGTAAATGCTCTTAGAAAGAACTAGATATAGTATCAACACAAGAATATGTAAAATCAGAGGCCTCACCTATTGGTACCTTTTCCCATGTTGTTATTAATCTTGGTTCACTTTTACTCAGGACAGTGCCAATCTCTGAAGCCCATGTATCACCAGCACAGCATGCCAAAGCACCCAAAAGGGAAAGACACATCCACGATGCTGTGTAATGCTTGGAAAAATCTATTGGAATTTCACCTGGTCCATTTTCTATCATATACAACAGTGCCAGCTCTGTAGGCACACCACCATTACAGAATACTTGCACCCAATTCCTCTGCCCACCTGGAAGAAAGATAATTTAAATATTTTCATCCCTAGGAAGCTGACATGCAGCAGTTTACATCAGATGGAGACAGCAGCAACCAAACCAAATCTTGGCATTTACCTTCCTTGTATTCTGAATCTATTTGCTTCTTGGCACCTTTTCTCCATTTAGTAAGTTTTGAAGAAGTAACAAAAAACATGAGCAAGGAAGTGAAGAAGCTGAAATTTGCAACTGTTAGGATAAACCCAACCACTAATCCTATAAAGAAAAAAAAAAATCAAATGAGTTAGTTCATGCAATAATCTTCTGCAAAGCAATTAAGAATATGTTTTTATGTTCTAAAATGAACAATTAAATCTTCATAATAAACCTAAAAGATGACAACAGTGCAATCAGTCCGAGAATTACTGTGGTAACCCATGGGCTACATACAGTTTTAAAATACCCCACAATCTTTATTGCAAAAAACCCCCCACAGCTGCCTTTGCTTTAATGTTTTTCTTTAACAAACATTGATCTTCCACTAAGTATTTGTATAATAAAGAGTTTCTGAAACAACTCTCTCTTTGCTGGGAAATAGTAAGTCACCTATGCCAGGGCCACATAAAATTCAATAATAAAAACAATGCAAAAGGACATACATATGAAAATCTCTATATAATGTCCCCACCATTGTATCTATGACAAGCAATGGGAGTACATCTGTTAAGCCTCTATGTATATACTGACATTAGGAACATAGCTCTACAGTTTGGGTTGCAACATTTTTCTTGTGCTGGGGTCCTCTCTCAGGATAATCTGTAGGACTGTGCATTCCTGCTACATATAACATCTTCTAATCCAGGGCTGTCCAATTTCTGAGCAGCCAGGGGTCACAGACATTCCCCACCATACCTCATGCAAGCTACACCACGAGCCCACCTTGCTGCACCACACAGGTCCCCGACGTGCTGCATGAGCCCACCCCAACCACATGGATCCTCTAACCCACAATGCAAACCCCCTGAGCATGCAGATGTGATAAGACGTGCATCCTCCCCTCCTCTACATGGCAGGCAACTCCCACACTACACCACACTGGTGCAGATGCTTCAGAGTTCCTGGGTCACACCTCCCCACCCCCCAGCCTGGCTGGCACATGGGCTCTGTCACTCCATCATATTCAGTGGGGTGGGGACAATAGAAGCTGGAGGAGGTGGGGGGGGGGGCAGTGGCACTGGCTACAACAGTGAGAAAACAAAGTGGGGAACAGCCCATGGACCAGGAGCCTAGGGGCTACTAACCCCTTGGAGCTGGACAGCTTTGTTTTAACCCTTGTTGCCGTTGATCTTTTTTGTTCATCTTCACTCTTGCCTCGTTTTCTGTTCTTGCTGCCTTGTTTGCAATACTTCTCTTTAAGTAATTTTTCTTTGGTGTTACTTTGCACATGTGTTTTGACTTTTCTCCTCCCTCCTGCTCCCTGGGTAGATCCAATTCATAACACCTTACTGCTCTGCTCAGTGGAAAATTGCAATTTGCTGGGAGCGGAAAACAACTAGTGACTGACTCAGCTCAATGCCACTGAAGCAGAAAAGATTGAGCTGATGACCTGCAGCTCTATGCAACTGAACTGCTCCCAGAGCTGTTAACACAAAAGCAACTGGAAAGGGAAGCTGATGTCTTTTAGGGGGGCACTGGCTATCTTAGATGTAGATAATGCACTATATTTGCAGAATGTATTGAATGGGGGTTGTCAACCGGGGGTACTTGGGAAGGCCCTAAGGGGTACAAGTGGGCGGGCAGGGACATATTGCTGCCACCGACCACCCCGCACCGCCGCCTCCCAGGGGCAGGGCTGGCAGGGAGAGGGCAGCGGCACCCCTTTGTGGGCCACACAGGTGCTGCCCGGCTGGCCAGACGCGAGGTGGGGAAGGGGAAGTTTGCATGCAGCGGTGGCTGCTGCCAACCCCACCCCCTCCTCCCCCACCAAATCTGGCTGCATGCCACCCTTCCCCTGCCACCGCCCCAAGAAGGGTGGACTGACTACATGTCTCAACTTGAAAGAATATCTTTCCAGCAGCCTTATTTCATTCTGATGTCCCTGGATGGGTGAAAAAAAAGACTACAACCACCAAGCCCCCCAAAAAGATTCCACAGACTCAAAAGCCCAATCATATATACTAAATTGGGTTTCATGGCCATCATTGTGGCAGATCTGTGAACAGAACTTGCATATACTATACTTAAGTATAAACAATATCAGAATGAAATAAGTTTTAATAGCAACATTAAAATATGTAATTGCTGTAGCATGAACACAGTTGTTCAAATTGGAGGTGGACGTGGGAGGCAACATTAAACAAACATGAAGCCATGGCAGGTACTGTAGGCTTGTACACATTTCCCTTAGTTCAGAACTGAGTACGAAAGTCTTAAAAGCACATAGCCAGACAAAAATTAAGACAAATACATTGGTTTGTACCATAAACATGTCACTTACTACTCCCAAAAGAAACATACCTCCCAGAGCTCCACTGTGATCAAGACTCTTTTTTTTATAACCTTGTGAAGAAATCAGTAGTGGAAACACAATTGAAAAAAGCCAACGCCAGGGAGAAATTGGCCGTAAAGTACCTGAGAAGTTAAATAAAGTAGTTAAACTTGGCCTTATGAAAATGGTTTATATAAGAGAGATGCTAGACAAGAGTTTATATGCCAGTATGCATGTAAATTCTAAGTATAACATAGATGACACTTCCCTCACCTCCTTTACAATTCAGAAGAAAAATAACAAGGCATAAAACTAAAAATGAAGCACCTTAGGTATTCTCTTTAACACTCACATAAATTAATGCATATAAGGTACACCATTAATAAAAACT